GGACGCATAGGTACCGGCATTTTTTAAAAAAAGAGGGAAATAATTATGAAAGTTTACCTGAAAATATTTGTTGGCATAGTCACCTCCCAACTGCAAATGCTTCAAATCGACTTTCTGGAGATGCTTTGGGAGCGAAGTTTTTAATCCCTGCAGGGACACTTTTAGCTCTTCAAGAGGCATAGTTTCTCTTCCCAAACTGAGTTTACGTTTTTGTAAAATATATACATATTTTTCTAGCACCCAAATCAGCCAGATCTTCCTGAAAAGACTGACACAACAAAGCTTTACTAGCTTGGTTAAACGGGCAAACTTGCCTAACTCACACCAAATAACGTTGACTTCACAAGAATCCCCAGCGCGCGCTCCACTCGCTTAGCCTTTATCTTCTCTCTCCCTAGCTCTCTATGGTTCACGGAGGCTCCGAAACCCGGAAGATAACTAGCCAAGCGCATGCGCGGGGTGTTAATACATCCGTCTGTGATTCGTAATGTGAGACGCTGTGAAGATTTGGCGGGACAGTACGAATTATGAACTTGAAAATGTCGCCCTCGTCCTTCCCCTTCCTGTTAAACGAGCGGCTCATGTTGCCTCAGTTGTTCCCAATAACTTGTGGAAAGTTGCGCAAAATCGCAAGAGTCGTGCAATCTTATTCTGTGTATACATACACGGAAATAAGATCTGCGTTCTTCGAGGGGGCTTTCTAAGATTGGTATTTCTTTGTATTTACACGAGCGTGGCGGTACTTAACCAGACTCTTCTCCTAAAATGCTTATTACACGATATACATTGCTGTCTAATAGGGTTGTCAACTCCTAGTTGGGAAATTTCTGGAGATTTGGGAACTGGAACCTAGAGAAGGAGAGGGGAGAGGAGGGACTTCCACGGGATATAGTTCCATTCAGTTACGGTCCAGAGGAACTGGCCACTTTTGTCTGTAGATCTGTTGTGATTCTGGGAGCTCTCCAGATCACACTTGAAGGTTGGCAACTCTGCTGTTAGGAGCACTTTTCAATGTGTCTTGTTGTTTGTTTATGTTTTATTTTTAGATAGATTATAGCCTTTCCTGAGATCTACTATTACAACTGAATTCCATGCAATAGAGATCAGTTCACCTGGAGAAAATGGCTGCTTTGGAAGGTGAATTCTATTGCATTATACCCCACTAAAGTCCCTTCCCTCTTCAGGCTTCACCTCCAAAATCTCCAGGTATTTCCCAACCTGGTGGTGGCAATCCTAGTGATACCTGTTCTATAGAAATAGAAAAGTTGCTTTTCCACATATGGTAATCAAGCAATTCCATGAGGCACTTCCTTCAAATCCCATAGATGTCTATGATAAGATGTGTTTCAAAATTGCCTAAGGAGTACTACTGATATCAGATTGTATAATAGGCAGCTTTGGTTAGAATCCGACTCTTCAGCCAAACTCTGTAAAAGGAAAATTCCATTAATAGGATGAAAGATCAAATAAGATCAAATAATGAAAACACATGACATTCAATTTCATGCCAATGTTTTTTTTCCCCTGATGTGACTAAAAACAAACAAACACCCTTCTCCAGTATAAGAACATAAGAGAAGTCAATGTTGAATCAGGCCAATGGCCCATCTAGTCCAACGCTCTGTCACACAGTGGCCAAAAAATACCAGGTGCCATCAGGAGATCCAGCAGTGGGGCCAAGACACTAGAAGCCCTCACTGTTGCCCCCCCCCCCAAGCACCAAGAATACAGTGCATCACCTGCCCCGGCCTATGAGTTCCTATCTATACCTTGTGGCTAATAGCCACTGATGGACCTCTGCTCCATATGTTTATCCAGTTCCCTCTTGAAGCTGTCCATGCTTGTAGCCGCCACCACTTCCTATGGCAGTGAATTCCATGTGTTAATCACTCTTTGGGTGAAGAAGTACTTCCTTTTATCTCTTCTAACCTGACCACTCAGCAATTTCATGGAGTGCCCACAAGCTCTTGTATTGTGAGAAAGGGAGAAAAGTACTTCTTTCTCGACCTGCTCTATCCCATGCATAATCTTATAAACCTCGATCATGTCACCCCTCAGCCGCCGTATCTCCAAGCTAAAGAGCCCCAAGCGCTTTAACCTTTCTTCATAGGGAAAGTGTTCCAACCCTTTTATCATTCTAGTTGCCATTTTCTGCAGTTTTTCCAATGCTATAATATCCTTTTTGAGGTGTGGTGACCAGAACTGTACACAGTACTCCAAATGAGGACGTACCATCGATTCATACAGGGGCATTATGGTACTGGCTGGTTTGTTTTCAATTTCCTCCCTAATAATCACCAGCACAGCGTTGGCCTTTTTTATTGCAGTCACACACTGACTTGACATTTTCATTGAGTTATCTACCACGACTCCAAGATCTCTCTCTTGGTCAGTCTCTGCTAGTTCAGACCCCATCAATGTGTATTTATAGTTAAGATTTTTTGCTCCAATGTGCATCCCATTGCACCTGGCCACACTGAACCCCATTTGCAACGTTGACACCCACTCGCCCATCCTTGACAGATCCCTTTGGAGTGCCTCACAATCCTCCCTGGTTGTCACCACCCTGAACAACTTTGTGTCATCTGCAAATTTAGCCACTTCACTGCTTACTCCCAACTCCAAATAACTAATAAACAAGTTAAAAAGCAGTGCACCAAGTACTGATCCCTGCGGTACCCCACTGTTTACCACCCTCCACTGAGAAAATTGCCCATTTATTTTTGTCAGGAGATCCACTCTCTGTTTCCTATTAATCAGCCAGTTTTTGATCCACAAAAGGACTTGTCCTTTTATCCCGTGACTATTGAGCTTACTTTGATGAGGAACTTTCCTTTGATGAGGAACTTTCTCAAAAGCTTTCTGGAAGTCAAGGTAAACAACATGTATTGGGTCTCCCTTGTCCACATGTTTGTTCACTCCCTCAAAGAACACTAACAGGTTAGTGAGACAAGATCTTCCCTTACAGAACCCATGCTGAGTCTTCCTCAATAGTTTTTTTTTTCATCTATGTGCCTATTAATTCTTTCCTTAATAATAGTTTCCACCAACTTACCCGGTATCGAAGTCAAACTGACTGGCCTGTAATTTCCCGGATCTCCTCTGGAACCCTTTTTAAAGATGGGAGTGACGTTAGCTACTTTCCAGTCCTCAGGAATGGAGGCAGATTTTAATGAAACATTACATATTTTTGTCAGGAGATCCACAAGTTCACATCTGAGTTCTTTCAGAACTCTCGGATGTATGCCATCTGGACCTGGTGATTTATCAGTTTTTAAGTTGTCTATCAGTCGTAGGACTGAAGCGATATTAAAAATAATAGTTTAATAATCCAGACAGCCTTGTCTCACACAAGTTTTCAGGCCTTGAACACCTGACACTTGAAACCCTCGACCCCCCACCTTTTTCCTCCTACTACCTAAAAGCTTGTTCCTCGGTTTTGAATTTCCCATAAAAGCCTGTTGCAAAGCTGTCACTAACACTTGAAACCCTCGACCCCCCACCTTTTTCCTCCTACTACCTAAAAGCTTGTTCCTCGGTTTTGAATTTCCCATAAAAGCCTGTTGCAAAGCTGTCACTATCTCACTATCTTTGTGTCTGTGGTCGAGCTTCAAAGAAAGCCAGGTGGGTGTAAGAGTTTAGTTTTCCGGACTAACTTGTAATAGCAAGCTAAACAAAATGGTGCACTAAATGAAGATGTTTCCTGTAACAGAAAAAAGTTTTAAAAGAACATTCCACTGCTAAGTGCTTGGCTTGTATGACATGTAACCTGTAACTGGTATAAATGCTTTGTTACTGCATAGCTCAAGGTTCGTCCATTTCAGAGCACCTTGCAGTGCAGGTCGAACCTGACGTCAAATAAAAACTTGTCCTCTTGATGAATCTGGTGTGGTCTCATAAGTCTGGACATAGGCTCCTCTCCCGTACTTCAGGACGTCCTCTCTCTTCACCTCAATCTGACTCATGTCCTTAAACACTGCTCCCAAAATCAAAGGTTTTGGAGTGGGCAAGCACTTCTCATCTTCCACAGTGAATACAGAGGCAAAAAATGCATTCAGCTTCTCAGCCATTTCCCTATCATCCTTCAGTACTCCTTTTACCCCTTGGTCATCCAAGAGCCCCACTGCCTCCCTGGCTGGTTTCCTGCTTCTAATGTATTTGAAGAAAGTTTTATTGTTGGTCTTTATATATTTTTGCTATATGCTCCTCATATTCCTTTTTTGCCTGCCTGATCACAGACTTGCATTTTATTTGCCACAGCCTGTGTTCCCTTTTATCAACCTCACTGAGACTAGCTTTCCACCGCTTAAGGGAATCCTTTTTACCTTTTACAGCTTCCATTACTTCATCAGTTAACCATGCAGGCTTTTTCCTATACCTATTTGTGCCTTTCTTAACCTAAGATATATTTTTTTTCTGAGCCTCTAGGATTGTAGTTTTAAATAGTCTTCAAGCTTCCCCAGTGGTTTTGACCCTTTCTACTTTTCCTTTCAGTTTCTTCCTCACATGTCCCCTCATATCAGAGAAGTTACCCCTTTTAAAGTTAAAAGTGGTTGTGTCGATCTTTTTGGGCAACTCTGTATTTATACAAATGTTGAACTCAACATACTGTAGTAGGAATGCAAGTTATACTTTTTTTGTTTTGTTCTCCAAAAGTAATAAAAGATGCTCTCCAGAGGCGAATGCAAGCATACTCACATGCCAAAATAAAAAATGCAACATATCTTTAAAATTCATTTTAAACTATATGAGGAGGTGGCTCTCCATGTATTTGTTTATAACTGATGTGGGGGGTGCGCAGGTTCGTCACACCCCCCCCCCCCAGAGACCCGGGGGAGGGGGCTCGGGCCAGGGGCCTTTTTTGAAATGAACATTAAAAGAGGTCTGGGGACCAACTATAAACGTGAGTCTAATGTAAACGGCGGCTAAAAAGAAAAGAAAGCTCCCTACCCCATCCTACAAAGCAGAAAGTGAGGCGGGTGGGGGAGGGACGCCTCCCAACTGCATGAACTTTTGAACGAACCAGGGGGGGAGCGGAAGAGAAAGCATTTAAAACTGTCAAGAAATACTTACTGAGGCGAGTCTGAGTGTTGAAGTGCATATTCAGAGACTTTTAAAATATTTGCTAAAGTAAACAATAAAGATGGCAGGGAAGAGGACGGAGAAGGAGAAGCCTGTGAAACCGAAAGGAATTGAGAGTCCTAAACCAGAAGGAACCAACAAGTTGGCAAAGACTTTGGCAGAATCCATGCACCCTCTACTGGACCAGATGAATA